TGCGATCCCATAAAGAAACTGAACAGAGAGCACACCGGTAAGAAACAGCAATGGAAGATTTGAGAGCATGTCGAGTCGTTCTTCTGACTTATTTCATGGCCATGTTTCGCCCATTATCCCGCCGACCCTATTCCTATCGGGACTTGCCCAGTTTCAGCTGCGCTCCCGCCAAAAATAGGAGTACGCTTTATTTATTGACGGAAATTGTTCCTCTGCCGTAAATCGATATCAAATTAACGTGTACAAAGGATAGAGCCTCCCGGACAAATTCCACCAAGGGTCTGTATCTTTCGAAAAGTCTTTTTCCCATCATAATACAATAGAAAAGTTAAAATATTATGTATTTGAGAGCCTGCATACTGCCTGCAATGACAACATTGCCATTGTGCATTGTGCAATGTCGGTTCAATGATATTATCGGACATATTAGTTTTCTGAAGTGTGTCAAAGTGTGATATTCGTGAGCTCTCTCCATAACCACACCGTTTGATCTCTATTTTCTTTCCGCATGGGGCCTCATTTTAACGGTCTCTGTTGGACAAGTAGAGAGGGCAATTGGTTAATTTGTTTGCGCGGAATATGATTCAAACTCAATATGCGTTATATTTGGAGCATCTTAGATGGAAATTTGAGAATAGTTTGATGGTTATAATTAAATTCACTCTTCACGGCCATGAAATTGTTTCTGCTTCTTGAAAATGTGTTTGCAAATGCAAAAGTTAAGTGAGGAGATGAAATGTTGAATAAGCAGTTTATGACGATCACGTGATAGAAATTGTCTAAACGTGTCTCTCTTATTACTTTTTAATCTTAATACACACCAAATTTTAAACAATATATAATGGCCTCATTCATTTCTAGAATGTTCAAGTCACACAATCATGCTCAAATAAGTTATTAAGATATAAATGTTCTGGGTGGGACCGATATTAAGCTATATAAAATGGCATGTCTTAATAGAAAGCGGGCGATTGTTCTCTTTTGTGAGTCAGGGAGGGGATAATTCGGGAATCCCATCTAACGTATATTACCCAACTTATATCTTTTTAATAATTTATTTTCTACATATTTTCAATATTTTTATAGCATGCGGGGATTGTGGGTGGAAGAAAACTGCGGCAATTTTTGTAATCATATTATGACGTGTTAGTAAGTAGTTTAAAAAAGGTTAATTTTTGTGGCATATGAGACGAAATATTTTAACAGCGCGAAAGTTATCCTTATTGTTAAGACATAGGGCCTAATAGTTTTGTTGTAGGCATGTGTGAGTGTGTATCAAAACCTTTATCGTCTTGTTAAATTACGGAACATGTATGCTTTGGAATTTATATTTCTGTGATAATTTTGAAGGCAGAATCCATTTTATTTTGCACATGTTTACATTTCTATTACATAGCTAGTTTACAAAATTATTTTCCTACAGTCGTTATCTGACATGCTTCTTAAGTATTTGGAATTTCTGATATACGAAACTGTTTGCGATTAAAAAAGTAGAAGGAAAATCTTTTTAGCGAAAATGATATCGTTATTGAACTTGTCTTTAAAAATTGTAACTTAAATCTGAACAGAAATCCTGATGGGCAAGTTAAACCAATCTGCAAGTTGAATTGAATAAAAGTAGAGAACAATTTGACAAACAATAACGGTGAAAGTTTTCCAAAAATCGGACAGAATATAAGAAAGTTATGGTGTATAAAAGTGTCGCAAAATGTCATGGAACGGTGATATGTACCACATAGGCTGTATGCAAACAAGCGAGTTGATGCTGTCACCCCCTTACTATTCCCCATTTATTTTGTTTTGTTATAATTTAAATTATATTTGTGTACACACTTGTATACTTGTATAACAGTTTTCCTTTATATTACTATAAACTGGAGTAATGGTAATTGTGCACACATTCCATGAGGTACCAAGCCATTATTTACCTTCCCAGCGGAGTGCTAAATATGTTATATCAATGTACAGAATGGATAGAGAAACGTTAGGGATGACATCATTATATCTATTCATTCAATTAAAATTGCAAATGGGCCGGACTTGCCCTATAATGACATAACCAGTTTTAAAAAAAATTCAACTGCGAACGTTGGTCAGTTTGAATTTCACCACATTTTTGATCAGACGTTTTCATTTTTTTTTCTTCTGTTACGTGGGTACTCTATTCAATTTCAAAATCACGTTTATGAGTATAATTACTGATGGGCACCATTCTGATATTTTTCGGCTTAAGCACCTCTTCCCCGCATGATATACTGTATTCATCGGAATCACACTGCTGTTCAGGTATTTCCTTTGGGAAAACAATTGCAACAGGTGAATTGAACAACTAATACCATTCCTTTCCCCATATAAATAAAAGAAAGTGAAAATTACAAAGTAGACATGTCTAGAATTCCTTTCTTTCCGCTCCTTGGGATTTCCGATTGAGAAGCAGGTGGATATGTAACCAAGCAGAAAATTCATGAATATTGTCGCCTCAAATCAATTTATTTTCTGCATCACACTGTATGAATGTGTGTTTTAATCTTTTCGTTCGCGCATGATTCCAACGCCCATTGCTTGCGATATATTCAACATTATCGATCTATATCAATGAACTGATTATGTCAACGCAATACTGACCTTTTCTCTTCCGTAGTAAAAAGTCAATAATAGAATAAAGATGTATTTTGTGAATAAGTACGTTTGGTACAAGTGAATGATAAAAATGTGTTCAAGTTTTTATCTTCTCTACAAAAGTGCAGTTCTAAATGTATTAAAAGCTTTGACAACGGCAGGCGTTTTGTCTATGCCCAATATTACTAAGTGTTTTGGCTGTCCTAATCATAAATGTAAGTATGATTACAAAAACCTGATATCCAGAATACAGAACAAACAAAAAAGGAGCGGACTCACTATTTGTTTCGAAGCTGAAAGAAACCCTTGAATGGTTCACAATACTAAATGAATGTTTTTTTTTAAATTGTACTAAAGTGGTAGGGTTTTCTACAGCAGTGGAGATGAATTTCATGACCTCCATAACTTTACCACTAAAGTACATTAAAAATATAATAACATAATGTAATAAGAAAATAAAATAAGAAAAAGTAACAATAATGATGAATGGTATCATAAGATTATTGAATATAGAGGCTTATGTAGGTAATATCTTATATACATATTTATGTATGGTGTGTATGTGATATAACAAATAATCTGCACGTACTGATAAGAAACACTAACAAAGCCCATGAATGTTTCGCCTACGATATTATTTTTCGATACTATCTTAAAAGATAGATAAATATAAAACGAAAAAAATATATTTTTCAAAAATACAAAAATGAGAGATATACACGTGCCGTGAAGTATTTTGGTGACAGTAGTCAAATTACTGACTAATCGCCAATAAACCAAAACACAACAAAAACAACTAAACTCTACGGAAAATTAGTAATAAAGAACACATTCCTTTCTCCCCAGTGAACTGTTTTAAATATCATCTCAATCCAACAAGCGAATTATCTTGGGGAAAGTAGCACATAAAACACTTAAATTCTCAAACTTATGATTCATGTTTTGTTCTCTTCTAATGTTTATAGTCAGTTGATTACTTTTCTATTTACCCATGTCACGTTATTCTCACAGGCCGTCCATCATCCCACAAACACATCCGTCATCTTTCCCCCCACGATGCATTGCGATCCAGACATGTTATTTCATACTTGATTGAAGATGGAGTCAAATTCGGCTCAGAACTGCAATTTTCTCAATCAAAGTCCCCCGAGGAGTGGGGGCAGTTGAAGCAAGGAGAAAAGGGTCACTGTAAGAACACCCACACAGACAAACACGCACATACACACACACACACACGCACGCACCCACGCGCTCGCACACACACACGCAACATTGCGACCACACACACACACAGACATCTAGAGACGGATTTGCACGAAGATCCTTATGTAGGCCTGTCTTACTGGATAAAAACCTCAGCTTTAATCAATCTACACCGTACAAGCATTTGAAGTGAAATGTCCAAGAATGATGGTATAATAATCCAATTATATATTTTACATTTAAGATACTTCTTAATTTCTTCTACCTGGGCTAGTATTTTAGTTCAAACTTTCTAACCTATAAAGAGCCCAACGTATGTTCAGGTATCCTATTATTGTACTTATGAAAATATATTTCACAATTTCCTTAGATAGTATTATACTCCACCTTATTTACCACTTCATTCTTATATGATAAAAACAAGACCTATATGCCTATTTGGTTTATTTCCATCTTATTAACATTTCTGAAAAGCAAACTACCTCATAATTGACCTATGTATCTTATCTGTACAACTGTATGTTTGCTGTTTCCCTGCTTTAGCAAATCCATTGTCCTGGGCCATGTATGCTTCTGTTTATAATATATTTCTGTTCAATTGTGGTCTATTTGCACCTATATGTCTATTTTGATTTTGAAATAAATGCTTATATATCTACGAAATTTCTAAAAAATCAAAAAAGAAAGAACTCCCTGTTCATGTAACATATTAAAATATCAACAAAGGAAGATCTTATTCATCCTGTTTCAAAATAGCAGGACACGTTTCCCCCTAGAATATAATATTTTTAAAAATATATAAAAATTGATTGGGAATATCTTATCTAGAACAAAGATTCTTTATTTGTCACCAGATTGAAAACAGAGTGTAGAAAGTAAAGAAAATAATCATTGAACTGCAATGTAAAACTGGAAAGTAATAAATTTCCTTCGTTTTCATGATCCAAGCCACTTAAAGCGTGGGAGAAAGATATAGTTTTAAGATTTAGTCTCCGTGCTATCTGACAGTTCATTCTACTTTTATATGCCGCCCGGGACCGTCTATATATCCTATTACCTTTATTTAATTTTCACTGCTTTTTGTGTGAGAATACCATGCCAACAATGATGTACATTTCTTTGCATTATTTATCTAAACATTCTCAGGTTCTGAAACTGATCCACAAATTTAAACTTACCCAACCAGTCCATCACGATTTTCTCCAACTCGGTACACGCGGGACTAGATGCCTACAAGTACAATGAGACAACGGTGAAAACGAAAAGTCATGTAGAGTAAACAGAAATAAAGGCTAGTAAAACAAATGAAGTCATAACTTTAGTTTTCAAATCCTGCAGATTATTATCTGTCATTGAATGGAAGCGTTAGCACATGATATTCTGATTCTTACAACCTTGGCTACTGATAAAAATTGGCGAACGAAAGTAGATTTTTGCAACCTATATACAAATAAATTGTTTGTAAAAATTAATTGATGCATATCTTCTTTAAAATAAACAGTCGTCGAAACAGTCAAATCAAATTGTAATACATGTATACATACATGTATTTCTTAGATATTCAACAAGGTCAATTCTTAAGATTATTTGTGATATTCAATAACATATTCGTGACTAACCCCAAGATATGCCGTTCTTTGAAGAGTTGCATAATTTGAAAAGAAAATAATCAGAAATATCATTGAACATCAAATAAAACCCATTTAAAGTAAGTAAACGGGCAATCAATCCATTTTACAGAGAAACCCTTGCTTTCAGTGCATTTGCCATTATAATACACCAATTATATTATATCACGTTATATAATTCAATATAATAAGCATGTATAGTAGAATATAACAAAATATGATATAAATATATTAGTGAATATCCTATCGGCTGTAATCTGTCACGTGATACCCAACAATTTGTGAAAAACATCTGAAAAACATGTATATATTCTTTATTGTCAGATGAATCTTATCAGACTTCACCAATCAGTCTAACCGAAATTAAATTTATTTCATGTTAGTTCATAAATAGTTACAGGTATACATATGTACGTTGGAGATAAAATCCACTGGAACCAGAACTTTTAATCTCCTTCATTTTATTAACAAAGAAAAAGATGAGGGGCTAAATATAGCTAATGAGGAGTCAATTTTCCTTCCCAAGAATTTGAGAGGAAAGGTGTTTATGAATGACTGACACGTAGAATTATCAAGGGCACTATCTGTGCTGCCAAATATCGCAACAGGCGACGTATTTCACTACGATTCATTAGTTATTCATCAAGTTTATCCTCTCTGTAAATCCAATCCATCCATCTTCACGTCGGAAACGCATTGAACTGTAATTGGCATTGAGAACAAGATGGGAGACAACCCTGGCCCCACACAGATCATCTCGAGTTGTAGGGAATCTAACAAGAGATCTGGTCGTAAAACACCTGCTGCTTTATTCCCAGAATTCATGATGGTGGTGTTGAGGTGCCATCTTATTTAAGATTAAGGCGTTGTTGTTATCACGCCAAGTTGTAATTACCCCGTAACCATGATTTTGTAATCACTGTCATGCGAAACTCCCCAAGACAAGAACGTGAGACGAGAGATGTCAAATGATGATACCGTAATATTTAACCAATTATTGAAGTCAAGTCAATGAAATCTTACTGCCTTATGATTCCCTATTGAGCTATGGTATTGGAAGTGCAAAAGGCTGGCTCTAACTGGTTCGGAAATGGTGGATTATATGTACCAGGAAAATAAAAAGTGAATAACTTGCTTAAAACTAGTACATTGTAAGGACTTCTAAAGCTCGATTTCCTTATCTTCATTTGATAATCACTCAGCCTATTTCCTTCCTACTAAAGTCATTGGATATTATGCTATCCAACCCAAATAGACAACTACTCTAAACGAAAGCAGAAAAGTCAGTGACAGAACAGTCAGAGAAGCAAACTTATGAAATTTTCAATTAAATCTGACTTAATAGTGGAAAGTTGTAATCACTATACGTATGGGCACTTCAAAGTGGCTGAAGCAGTAATGTCAATGTGATGTACATGTAGTGCCGGACTACTTTCTCATCTGTTCCAACATATACAATGACTAATATATTTTTTGTTTAAAGTTCATGGCTTAGGAGGGTCTATTCATTTTAGACGACCTATAACAATATGCTAGCTATGATATGTTTTGAGTAGTGCCCCGAGAGAGAAGGAACTTACGAGAAAGACAGAAATTAGTTATATTTGTGTACACGGCAAATGGGAGAGTTATCCACGTCATACGTCACAATCCACTAACCAAACTACCAATTTGAGATTCGCATAGACTTAGTGATCTCATATTTCAAACATTCATAACTTCCTTACTATTGGTCCGATTCATTTCATCCTTTTGCCATTCTGTTTCTGTTATTTTTCTGCTTTCATACAAATCGAATTATTACAAGGGTTAGAGATTGCTCTTTAAGTTTTGAACATTCAGAGTTTAAACATTCAGAGAAGGTCTTGTCTGAGGATTTTCGTAACGTCAACATGATAATTGGAGATGCCATCAATGGTACCCCGCCTCTGCGCTCAGTGTAATCCTCATTACAAATTCCTTCGGAGAGGACCTAAATATGTCGGTCCTCTGGTTGCTTGTAAGCATACACATGCTTTCTTTAATAGCAGTTAGGTAATACGAACAAACCATCAAACCTTTAGGGGTGTGGAATCAATTTGTAAAAGGGGTGTATAAAGAAGGTGTGGTCAACGAGTTCTTACCCATGTGAATCCCAAGCAGCTGATACCATCAGCCAACATGTCTCCCAGCATGGACGGATAGGAGGTAAGAGCGGGGAAGTAAGCGTGCATGTGAGGGCTCTGCCAATGAGTAATCTGGATGGAAATGAAAGTAAAGTGGAATTAGAATCTGACAAAGAATATGAGAAAATTACACGAAGTATACAAATATTGACCTGGCAACAAAATAACTATTGGGGTTGTAATCCGGCAGATCTTACCGAAGCCCGAAATTAATTATTTATATTACACGTAATAAACAACTGTACTCATTGGATAAATCGAAAATAAGAATTAGACAATTGAAATACTATATCATGTTTGCTTCAATGGTTTACACTGGGTTTGCTTTGATCCACAACGCATTTTGAAGGCCATCAGATACTAGAAAGCTACATTGCAACGTTCAGAGCACTTTGCTGAGAAAAAAATGCTCTCAGCATTTCATTTTCTTGGGTAAGCAATGGTAAACATAAAAATGCTCTTAATCATTGCATCATAACATACAACATGACCATTATCAAGTAGCCAGGAAACAAAAAGTCATTTTTCAGAAATGGCGATGATAATGAAAAAATCAAGAGAGCGGAAATCTTAAAAGCAATATTTTTAGATATCGCTGAATTATAATTATTCTCATTTTGGAATCGTCGAGGGAGCATTTGGAGCTAATGACTACCCGTCTGCTACTTCAAGTGAACCTATCAAGGTTTAGATAGAATTGCATTTCAATTTAATCGTATGACGTCATTCGTCAATGAATTGACTGGATTTAAGAGGAATATTGTAATGTTCCCCAAAATTGAAATATGATTTCAAGCGAAGAAGCATGATGACGTTGAACTTTACAACAGGATAAATACTGATAAAATGGAATGCCGCGTATCAGAAAGAGAAACTCATTTGAAGCAAAAGCAGCATTCGGTTTTTGTCACCAAATTTTGTTATGTATTTACCCCGAGGAAAATGCCAGACATTTTTGGCTTTAAATGACTTCAATGAGTTGAAATAGTCATGTAATTGCTTTCAAAAATACACGGAGTGATTGAAACATAACAAGATGATAAGGTCACCTTGTGCAGCTTTCCCCGAGTCTAATATTTGAAAAGAACTCTTCTACAGTATTTTTGACTGTGTAGAGAAAGAGTGATGAGAAACCAATGGGACCCTTCTGAGAATGCTTTAATGTTCGTACGAGGCAGATACAGGGAAAAATAAATGATATGCGATCCACTTAATTTACCGAAAATCGCACATGCTATCACATTCCATTTCGATGTTTATGTAAACCTACATCGCAGTGAGAAACATCATAGATCTTGTGTAAAACTTGACGTCATTTCGTATTCCAATTTTGACAAGGTACGGAAGTATAGACTCCATAATCCCAGTGAATAGGGTATTTCACTTAAACGGAATTTGATGACATCGAGAAAGTCATCTTGCTCCCGCAAGCGTGGAATATGAGGAGGGTAATTGGCTGGAGCACTCAGCAATGCAGTGTCATTTAACACAATGGCTCCACCATTTCGTTCTCAATGACAACCTATGGTGATATTGCAATGTACAAGGCGTCTACTGTTTTGCTTTTCACATTGTAACTAAAATGATACATTAGAAGATTATTTGACCGTTCATTTCACAACTAAATCTCAACTATAGAATGATTTTATGCTCCTAAGCTCTAAGTTTCTCGCTTGAAATAAATCGACGTATAGCAAATAAATAAATACTAGTCGAATGGGCTAACTACATGATTTTTTTTTTCATGATTTCATTATGGTCATTGAAATACCACATATTTTTTGTAATGATTAATTTAACAATTGCTTCACAAAGCAAAATGAAATATAGAACACAATTAAAACAACTTTCAAAAATTAACTCAGGGAAAGTCCAATACTTTATCCCATTAATTACTGAGAGTATGGTCGGATTAGCACGATTGCATATTTTGACAGAAGATGCACAAGGTTTCTGAAATTGCTTTAAATTAATTTTATCAAAAGCTTGGAGATCGTGTTTTAGATGGAACGAAGACAGTTTGGTAAAGATGATGATTGTACATCAACGGATCAGGTTTGTTCAAATGAAAACTGTAAACATCCGGTAGTCTTACTTTGTGTTGACCGGTCGACTTACCCCGGGCATGATGACCCTTTCAATGTCCTCCATAATGTCGTCCCATTTATCTCCATTGACAGGGGCATGGTCAGGTATGAGTTGTTTAAGGTACCCCGGCTGGACGTCTGGTAGCGTTCGGCGGGAACGGATCGTTGATAAGTAGTCTGCCACATAATCCACCATCTCCTTCCCTTAAAACAATAATGGTAACCGCAAAAAAAATGTTAATAGGTTATGAATACCATATGGACATTTTTCCATATTTTCATATCCCTTCACATTTTCTTCTCTCCATCTGTTCGATTATTATGTGTTCGATAAAAATAGGCCGTGCATGCATTAGTCATTCTATGTAACAAATGTAACAACTCTAAATTACGAATTCCACTTTCCATTGTGTAATTATATTTGAACTTTGACCTTTGACATGTTGGTGGTGAACCCAGGAGCTCACATATCCGTATAACGATGTATTTGCAATGCCCATCTATTTCAAAGTTTGGCGCAGCTTCATTTCCGCTTTAAATTTGTATTACATTTTTAAATGTGTTATTTATACTAGGCGGCTTTAGCGTGCTTTCCACGATTGGTATTACGTAATGAGGTTTCATAATACGACCACTGGCCATTAAGCCGTTAAATACTAATGGTTCGTCACCCATCATTTGATTTCCATCTAAAAATTGCACATAATTAGCCAGAAAGGAGTATATACTGCAGGCGACTTCCGTTAAGACAATATGGTGCCATAATTACCATCAAGTTTTTGTTCTTCCTTTGGACGTAATCTTCGTGAAAGCGTCATGGTTTTTGTTATCGTCTACATATAAAATGTCGGGATTGATAGTCGAAGGAAGGCACATCGATAAAGAAAATATCTGTTTTCTTTACATCGAGAGAAATGTATCATTCCCATGCATGTATGTTTATCATCATAGTGTGGTTGTCTGTATATAGCTTTAGTCTTCACATCTTCAAGTTGACGACATGAGGGTGAAATGGTTGCATGATGACATGCATTATGCAACTAAGTACTATTTTCATCGTTCTTCTATTATGATCATGTGATCATAAACATAGCATACTTAAGTGAAAAAGATGACTTTTTTTCTTCATTGCGAAAGCACATTATTTTGTGAATCATGTTAGAAACTAAATCTCAAAACACATTGTTCATTGCTACTGGGTGACGTCATGCACGCTCATTGCTTATGTTTCCGTGAGAGACCTAATACTAATGTTTGGGATAGAAGCATTCTTTTATGCATAATCCTAACATCGATCATAGAAGGTTAATAACACTTTGTACATAGTGTTGATTTCTGAATTGGAAATATTGGTGCAAAATCTGGAATTACTTCACTCGGATTTTCGGATGCAAAGCTATATTGAAACATATGGGTCTTCGTGTTTTTTACGACGGAAGTTTATATATTATGCAAGTTAAATTAGTAATAGCAATCAAAAGTATATTGGTTCGTCGTATTGATGAGTTTGACATGACATGTATTAAGGACTGGATGAGTATGCGTAAGAGATAACAGTGACGGATAGGGATGAGTTCTTCTATTCACAGTATATCTCAGACGCTACCATATCATTTAGGACTAAAAATTGTGCTAGAAATGAGCATAATGGATAATTATCTGCGACCTCTAACACTTTTAACCATGGACGGTGTGGAAAGCTTTAGCACACTCCATGATTGCCCTTGAACTTAATCATGTCACGTTTCAACTGAACATTCATCATGCAACAAGCAGAGAGATATGAGGTAATTGACTTTAAAATGCGTGGAAAATCTGTTATAGTAATGTCATGGTTACTGACTATTTCCTTTCGGCAAACGTGAAATTGATGCACTACTGAAAAATGCGTTTCAGCTCGTGTTAATGAACAAGCTATTCTATCTACCAAATAATCTAGAGTTAAGAAAGTCACCAATTAATTTGCAACATAATTTACATGTGATTTTATCATAGATTTAATGATGGTATCCCCCATTTCGTATAATTTGTAAACGTAACAATAACAAATATGTTTATAAAGCACACTGTTTATTTAAAAGCATGTCAAACGAAGCCTCTCGATCATATGCAATTATAATTGACAAGACTGGAGAAGACTTCATTTATGTTTGTTTGTTGTTGGTTTGTTTGTTATTGGTTTTTGCCACATAGTAATGTAGAGGGAGAGAGGGAGAAAGAGAGAGCGGACTGGTTTTAGAAGGTTTGACAATTTTTGATATTCATAAAATCCAAATTGCGATCCTGATGTATGATGTGAAACACAATTTTTAGTATCTATTGATATGATAAATTTATTGCAGTACAGTAAAGATTACCATCAATATAATACCAGTTCCCACTCTAAATTCCATTTTCCATTAGCACTCAATCAGTTAAGTCTCATTGCATTTAAATCTGTTGATCCTCGAATATGGAATTCTCTCCCTGCCGATTTAATTTCCAGTACTAATGTTACTTCATTTAAAACCAAACTCAAACGTTCAATAATAACTACCTATGCCAAATAAACATGTAATTTCATCTCTCTTCTCTACGTTTTCTTATTTCACCTTTATTTCCCTTTACATGTATGTTTAGTGCTTAATCTTTAATAAAACGAATAGCATTAAATTGAATATAATATAACACACACATATATATATATATATATATATATATATATATATATATACATATGAAATATACATATGAGAAATTTCTGTTTCTCTGTCGTGTGAAGCAATGCACCGCAATATTTAAGTGTATAATGTGTCGGTATGATATCACTTTCTGTTACTATAGACTTAATCCTCGCTAATACATCTAGATTGGTCGAAATGGCATCAAAATCCACCGATGAGAAATTATGCCTCGGATCTATTTCGGTCTTACTCAACACAACGATGTCAAGTATAAATCATCGGTCACTATTTTTACGGGAACGTAACAATTAATTGAGAGCTTAGAATATGCATGTGTGTCCAATTTTCAGCCATTTGCATTTGTAATTAAGAGGGCTCATTACTCAAAATTTGCTTTCACGAAAATTAAACGGCAACACACTACATGATTTTGTGACATGCGGTAGCTACATCAGATGAAAATTAACTAGTTATTTTTTCCGCATATGTGGAGTAAATTGTCGCCGAACGAGCTTTATAGATTAGTGGTGGTGGGGGGGAGGCGAGGTTAATCAAGGCGACTAAAAACCTTAAATTGTGTAAATTCTAATTTCATGCCTTGCACGTTTGATTTAATTCATGAGCAGATGTCCCGTGTTCGTGCATACGCAAGAAGTCTCTCCAACTATGTCGAATCCCTCGTAAATGAAATCAGAAGCAAAGTTGTAGCAGACACATTTCATTTATTTTAACAGTTCATTACAAACTGTATGACGGTCTAGGCTCATTTAGAGCTCTGCTATCATAGATTATTTTCAAAGCAACGAAATTGGTCTCTTTAATCATTTTCAAAATATAAAGATATATTGCTATTTGGTTTTTAATCGTTTAACAAAATCTCTGAACAAAAAATTAGTGTAAGACCTCAAGATTAAATGACAAGGATTCTTTTTCTAATTCATTCGTGTTAAGGTCTCGTATGTAATCATGTATGGGATTAATGCAGTACCCATACAATATTTGTTAAAGATCATTTTGATCAGTTTCATTCTTTTTGATTTGCACATTTATAAGAGAATATCTTTCATCTCCAAAACTGATAACATGGAGCTGGTTTTCCACCCATAAATAATGGTTAATTTCATTTAGTAATAAAATAAGATTTAATAAGTAAACAATATCTCATCATGTGTGAAAGGTATTGATTATAACTATAAATGAATAATGACTTGACAACCAATATTGATATATATTGTGAGGCTGGTAATTTCTCTCTTTCTATCTTTACATCTTGCAAAAACTAATTTATAAGACTGAAGAATTTCTCACATTACATGCAGGTTTAAAACCACCTGAGCATGGGGCCGTATATTTAGTATGGTGATACAATCTTTGCATCATGATTGACATTCAACTATTAAATAAGGAATAAAACCATGGCAGGTGGGTCATCATGAAACCTTTTCCTTTAAAGCTTGGCTAGAGACACGTCAAATGCATCATCAACTTTCTATTACTATTGTATTTGTTTTTAGAAATTGGATTCTCGCTTTTAGGTCCCACGAGGGCTTTAACGAGTAAAATATAGTCGATGCGACGTACTAATTAGAAAGTGTATTAGATGTAGCTATAACTCATTCAGCTTATTTCCTTTTAAGTGAACTCTGCTGGCTCTAAGTCCAAGCTCTCAATAGTGACATGGTTATTCGTTCTTAGGATTTATAGATTTCTTCTTTTTTCTGCTTTAACACTAGATTGGAGATAATAAAATATGAATTATTTTCTTGGACAGAGGCGTTCACATGATGATGCTTTGTACTAATGTGATCAGAAAGACAATAAATCGCCTCAATCACTGTCAGACAAAGAAGAAGAGGCAATGACTCGCATTGGTATTAATGAGATAGGTTGAATGAGGGGGCCGAAGGGGTTGAAAGCAGCGCTCAAAATACACGGGGGCGATGGGCGATTCGTCCCCGTGAGCTCCATAATCACCCCCATCAGGTTGTCCACGGGGGCGATTGCAAAATTAAAAATCGCCCCCGTGGAATTATAAAATAAAGATTTTCAGCGAATTGAATAATATTGAAAAAGATGCAATTCATAGTTGTACTCGATAATTCTCACTTAAAATATTCTCTCTCTCTCTCTCTCTCTCTCTCTCCCTGTCTTGCATAAAGAAAATATGAAAATAATATTTTGCCTTGATTAAGAAAAATTGAAAATTTTATCAGTATTAAACAGGGAGAAGGAAAGGGGAGGAAATTAATCAAAACAAACATTGAAGAATCCAATTCAGTGTTTTTTCGTGATGCATAAGAATGAAAGAACATTAAAAGGTGAATAATAAATTGATTGATTGAATAAAAAATAATGAAACAATATGGTCTGAAGGTCATATATCTTCGAATATTAGAAAGTTTCATCCACCATCGTATTGTTGAACACTATTTGCAATTTAATTTTAATGCGGTGACTTGTCGGTTACGAGCAGAAGGTCATATCAGGCTTCTATATTCTATAATACTATCAACAGATATCTGGATAGAGACACTTCGTCAC